GATGAAGGGGCCATGAGACAAAAAATGCAGACATCCTCTGGAAGATGGATAAGGCAAGGAAATGCATTCTCCCTTAGATACTCCAGTAAGGAACACAGCCCTGTCAAAACCTTGATTTAAGCTCACTGAGGATTGTGTCATAGTTATAAGCACGAGAATAGGGAGCAGGCTGTCTTTGTCTCCAGCTGAGCCCGGTGTTCCCTGCTGGAGAATGTAGCAGTTCATAAAGAAGAAGAGCAGAGCAGGTTATAAACCTCCAGTCTACCTCTGACTTCAAAAATGAAATCCCCTGTCTTTGATAATAGGTAATCTTGTCTCCTGTTAGCCTCTGTTCTTGATTTCAATCCCCATTTATTTTCAATTTAACATATCAGTATTTCAGCCATTGTCATTTATTAATAAATATGCAGCATTGCTCTGATTTCATACAGATTTTCAGACACAGATATTAACATTTGAAAAGGCAAACACCTATGTCTCGGTCCTTTTCTGATGATATAGACCATCAGTTCTCTGGAAAAGACATAAATCACTGTTATAAGAACCTTGCTGATGCTGTTTCCCTGCCTTCTTAGCCCAGGAATCCCTGACACTCAGCCACCTGATTTAAAGTTAATAAATAAATTCAACTACTCTACACACTTTTAAGATACATTCCAGTTATAGTAAAAAAACAAAGATATCAAGGGAGTCTATTTTTTTTTAACAAAACAAAACACCTAGTAAAGCCTCTCACTTTTATTTCTACATTTGTAATTTACTCAGTACAGTTAACCTTTAAACATATATGGAATATATGCAGATAGAATATCAATTAAAACAAAATATTTCTTGCTTTTAATGTATGGCATTTAAATACTCCTTTATTGTACTATTTATAAAACTGTTTTATAGAACACTAAAAAGTATGAGGCTCTTTAAAAATGTTAATCCTATAATTAATAGTCAGAGGCATACGCTTTTCCCCAGCACAAGACACTGATATTCTAAATCTGTCATTCTGAACTTTACAGTAGGAGACAGCCATCTGCCTGCATGCAGCCATATAAAACAAAGCAAGAATATATGCTCTTATGTTTCCCTTGGTGGGATGCAGGATCATTATGGTGAAGTAGGCAACAAGGTTTAGCTAATATGAATTAAGATAGCATGTGTTGAAGGAAAAAAAAGCGCATATTAAATCAAACTAATTCTGTAAGTCAATGTTATTAGCAGATTGGATATGGATGATTTGATAAAGTAGAGCAGCATATGATGTAATGCCAAGTAAATGGGAAGTATGTGTGTGGGTGACCCATTCTTGAGTCTCATAGCTCCAGAAATTCTCTCTCTGTATTACTGGATCTAGTGCTATTTTAGCTCAGGGCCTACGCTTTAATTGACAACTGTATTTTGCTGTGAAACATCAAAGTTGTAAAATAAAATATTCTAACATTCTGTCACAGGTTAAGAATATTAACTGGAAGTAAAAAGGAGCAAGGCTTGGGAAGAAAAATGAATTTCCAACATATCTTTATATCTGGATGTTTATGCAATTATATATTTTTCAGTCATGCTCTTTTATCAGTTATGTCTAGATTTTTCTGAAAATCAAATACTCTAAAATCTACCTTCTATATTTTAGTTTAAGTGAAATCATTATGAAAAGATATGACCACTCAGACACAAATTTTGGGGCTTAACTAATGTGTTTTTTAGTTTAATTTTATGGCGATTTTGATATCTTCTTAATTAAAAACTTACAAGATAAACATTAACTTCTTTGATTTGATAATTTTTGAAATTTTATTTTATTTTTAAAAAACTTTTTTCTGAAGCAAAGATGATTTTTATAAACAGATGACACAGTGGGACAATTTAAAAATTTTATTTCATGCCATCACGTTAAATTTGATTTTCCAAGTACTACAGTAATATAGCATGGTGGTTAAATGTGAAATCTGGAGTCAGCCAAAATTACTTCTAATCCCATTTCTACCATGTAAAAACTGTGTGACCTTGACAAAGTGACATCTCTAAGCTTTAGATCTCTCATTTGTAAATGGGGGTAATTTAGAGAGCCTACTTCAGCAGGGTTATTCTGAGGGTTAAGTGAAATAAGATGCATGAAGCACTCAGTGCAGTGTCTGGTAAATCTGGTTTCTTCACAGTAATATTATGCAAATTTCATTCCTGAAGCAGAAGTTCATATATTTTAGGTGTTGATCGTACTCAATAAGGAATTCATTTAAAAAATCATTTTCATGGTACTCTATCTGTAACTTCTGATTTCCCTGTAAATTGTAAGCATTTACTACTGAGAACATTTCTAAGAAATTATATAAGTATAATATTTGCAAATAGGGAGACTTAGGGATTGTTTATCCAAAGCAAGGTTTTCAACCAGGCCATAGAACAACTTAAAAGTGGTATATAATAATATTTATTGAAATTTACACTGAGATTTCATCATTTATAGGATGATGAGTCATTTTATAGGATGATTCATCTGGCCAACCTGAATCACCCTATGAAAAATTACATCCTAGTACCAGATTCCTGAATTACAGGCCTTAGGCAGTAGCAGTAGCCAACATGTGTCAGTGTGGATTCTAAGGCATGCAACATCGCAAATTACATTTAGAGCAATAGGTTGAAAATGCAGTCCTGCCCTTGGCTTTCTTTATGACAGAATGAGGCAAGGTACTTCATTCAAATGTAAGGAGTAAATGGTGAAAAATAAATGTTTGTCATTTTAATATTTATAAATAAAATTTCAGTTTTGAACATGCACATCACATGGCATTCTATGTATTATACGGAAATATTTTCCAAAAAGGAGGCAAGAACAAAAAAATTACAGATATTCTGATATAATAATCTAAAAATAGTCCTATTACATTAATTTTATTTAGTATATCATATGTCTCAGGTATTAGCGAATTAAAATTTCTCTTTAAAGTACAATTTTGTTACTAATACTTATTAAAAATATTAGTGTCTGATTATCATCTACTTTGAAAAAAGTACTCTATAGTAGATTACTTAGTGCTTAGCAAAACATCCAATTTATTAGTTTTTAAAATATTGTAAATTCAACAAGAAAAACGGTTAAAAACTTAAAAAGTAGGAAATGATTAATAATATGGAAACATAATTCCTACAGCAAAAATAGGGTAGGTTTCTAATTCTTTTCCTCAGGTCAATTTCCTACATTCTGCCACCAAAAATGTCAAATTCAGTTAAACCTCAGTGAAGCCTTGGCTTAACTCCAAAAAAACCTCCGTTCTTTTTTTCTGGAGGAGAATACAGGTTACTCTATGAAGTGTTCACGATACTAGGTAAAGAGTTACAGGAGAGAGAATTGGGGATTCAGTGAGACAGAGAGAAATGATGGCTTAGAGGGTCATTGCTAGTGTAATACATGTGTCTAACCAGGAGATATACTAACATTGAAAAATTAAAACTAGCCAGTCACAGTGGCTCACATCTGTAATCGCAGCAATTTCAGAGGCTGAGGTGGGTGGATAACTTGAGGTCATGAGTTTGAGACCAGCCTGGCCAACATGGTGAAATAGTGCCTCTACTAAAAATACAAAATTAGCCAGGCATGGTGGATCATGTCTGTAATCCCAGCTGCTATGGAGGCTGAGGCAGGAATATCCTTTGAACACAGGACGCGGAGGTTGCAGTGAGCCAAGATTGCACCATTGCACTCCAGCCTGGGCAACAGAGCAAGACTCCATCTCTAAATAAGTAAAGTAGAGTATCTTTTAAGACTCTGCCCAGCACAAAATTAAAAAGAGAAAAAGCCCTTTCAGAGTTTTAAACAGTTAAATGTGGATCTAAAAGGGCTTTACCACCCAAATGATCCCCCTAGACCTCTCTACTCATAGAATATAATATACATGGCCTTAAATTATAGCAGAAAGCAAATGTCATGATATTTTGCAAACACATGAAATACTTGTCTAAAAATTAAGCCATAGTGATGTATCTTTAAAAGCATTTTACAGTTAAAATCAATTGTGAATAACACTCATATGATGTCTTAAGATGAACATGAAAATAGACTGTTTCCATTTCTGCGCCTTTTAGTGTATTTGCTTGCTTACTTGGCTGAATGGGTAAACATTCACAGTCATACAAGGTCATTTTGGAAGAAGGGTTGAATCACACACACACACACACACACACACACACACACACCCCTCTGAATTAACATTAGGAGGTCCTACATTTTAGCACTTAAAAGGGGACTTATGAAATATAGTCTTGGATAAGTAATGAAATTATCTGCTATCTGAATCATAACCCAATAAAAATCCCCATTCCCTCCTCCCTAATTTATAACTAGAGATAAGTTGTACAGAGACAACAGTGATACTTTTCAGCTATCAGTGCAGGGACAACCAGTCAGCTGTGTCATGACCTAATGTCTTTGTAATCTGTCCAGGGTGATTCTGGCTTTAGTTGTCTAGAATTTCCCTAATTAAATGAAAACTTCTTAGGAGGCTTTTAGATGTTGACAATAGAAGTTTTAAAAATTCATTAACAGCTTCATCTTAAAACCATATTCTTAAGCATAAAAAATTAATGTATTATTCTTAACACTAAACTCAAAGGATTTGCATATGAAGTATATAAATGTGGCTATTTGATTGGCAATTAAGCAATAAAAATACTATTAATTAGGACCTAACTGTCTCTATGCAAAACAAAGGAAGGATTCACCATACTTTTAGAAGTACCTACATATAAAACACTGAATTTTAACGTATTTTATATGGCAATTGGAAATATATGTTGAATGGCATTCCTAAGGCAAAAAAAAAAAAAAGAAAGGTTTGCTTCTACAGTACTAAACTGAAAGTATTCTATCAGAATTCATTTTTAAATAAAATTATACAGATGTTTCTTGTTTGCGCTAGTACCCATCACTGTGTTTATAATACCTTTCAACTCCTATCCATTCTCTGGCTTTTAAAAAGAAATATAAAAGAATAATGAAGATTGATTACCTTTTTCACAGAAGCGTCCAGTGAAATGTAGTGGACAGTCACATTGGAATGAGACTATACCACTGGAGGGGAAGATGGGATGGCATGTGCCTCCATTGTGGCATAAATCCTCCTGGCACACAGATGACGCTGCAACAGAGGGGGTGATAGAAGTCCACATCGTATCAATCCCTTGTGTCACATCAGAATCATCAACAAAGGAGGCTGTTGGAGACAGCATAAAACCCTGGGACCTATGATTTATAAACAGATCAGAAAACAAAATATAAGTCAAAGAACTAGGAACATAAATAGAAATAACAGAAAATTCGATTTAACATAAGAGAAAATCAAAGCAACACTGATCCAAGTTTTAACTGAGGACAAAATTACAATGTTTGTTTCACAATTATGAGATACGTAAATGTTAAAAATTTCTGAGCCACATATGACCCTGTAGCAGGAAGAATAGTGGAAGAAATGACCTTCATAAACTTCTCAGTAATTTTATGGAAAAAACATAGTTCTCCTTTAGCTGTTTCTTATCTTATGAGCCTAAGATCAAGAATTAGGTCATGTAAAATTTCCATGCTAAAATGGTTTGAATTTGAATTTGAAGACTTTCTAAGTTAACTGCTAGAAATGTGCAATTATCAGTCTGACTTAGCATTAATTTCTGGGAGCTATCCAAGAGGTACCTTAGAAATAGCCACACATACTCCCCCCCCTCCTTTTTTTTTTTTTTTTTAACAAATTTTAATACCATTTTAACCTTTTCTGTTAAATAACGACAAAATTCTCTCTGAATTATGTGAAATTTCCTACTTTCAGATTCAAAACCCCTCGACAATCTGATTTCTCTCTGCTCTTCCAGCCTACTTTTTCATGATTTCTAATAAGTACCTTAAATTCTCTGAAACCAAATAAGATTACTATTCCTTAAAGAGCCTGAAATTTCCTAATTTTGGAAGTTTGTTAAATCTACTTTTTATGCATTGTTTTTTCTCAATTCCTATCTAAATTTTGCCTACGGTGCTATGCCCATGCCTGTATTAGTTTTTGTCCCCGGCCAACAAGATGTAACTGATGTTTCTCTCCTGTCTAAAATTGCACATCTCATTTGTAGCACTGTTAGAATATTTAGCATGCACTTGTAGTACAGTTATTTCATGTGTAGCCTCTACTATTTAGCTTGTACATATTTGTTTTTTTTTTTCTCCCTCCATACAAAAGTTTCTCATTTTATCAGAAATCTTTATAATACTTAATGAAAATGTGTTGAATGATTGTCTTCGGAGTACTCATGAGTTTTAAATACTGTTTGGGGAGTGTTTTTAGAATTCCCCTTAATATAATCATGAGGTAATTATCTTTTTAATGTATAAAACCTTCCTACAATAAAAATAATCAACAATTAAATATAAAAAAAATTTATTTTGTACCTTGTCATAAAGATAAAACCTTAGCAAAAGAAGTCACTTCAAACATTCCCCAACTGATATTAGAGACTTAAATACCTATTTTTTAGATATACTACACACATTAATGTCAACTTATTGGAATAAAAGAGTTGAAGAAAATGAAATAGATAATTTATATTTTACTGGTATGTTAAAGTGCAGGTCAGTTCTTTTGCAAACTGAAATTCTTCTTCATGAAGTTCATCACAGATTTTATTCATAATTGAGCCTGACCCACTTCTCTTTCCTCTGAATTGCAATTTACATGAAGGATACATGGATGACTTCTGTGCTTTTCATTTTATTCCTAACAATGCTTGATCTCCAGTAGGCTCTCCAATAAATATTGTATAAATGAATTTGAATCATTTTTTGTAACAATGCAATGTACCATACTACTTTTTGTTGTTGTTTTTTGTTTGTCTGAGATGGAGTTTCACTCTTGTTGCCCAGTGGCTGCAGTGCAATGGTGCACTCTTGGCTCACTGCAGCCTTCACTCCTGGGTTCAAGCAATTCTCTTGCCTCAGCTTCTCGAGCAGCTAGGATTATATGTGCCTTCCACCATGCACGGCTGATGTTTTGTGTTTTTAGTAGAAATGGAGTTTTGCCTTGTTGGCCAGGCTGGTCTCCAATTCCTTGCCTCAGGTGATCTGCCAGCCTTGGCCTCCCAAACTGATAGGATTACAGGCATGAATCACCACACCTGTCCTGTACCACACTACTAACAAGAAAAGTAGCAAGTGAAATAATTTTGCCACCCCGGGTTAATTTTATAACTCCATTATACAACTCTTTAATTTTATAAACAATATAAATTCTAATTCTTTTGATACAGTTGTGTAATCAACTTTCTCTGATATTGCTCTATTAGAAAATTAGCATGCTTCTCCTTTTAGCACTTACACTATAAGTTTGTCTCTTTAAGGCAGTTTCCATCAAGTTAAATGGCAATGCTAATGTGAATGACATGGGATTTATTACTCAATATTCTGAATTCTAATTTAATTTTTAGTCTTAATGTTTTTGAATAATTTTACCATTTTGTCTAACATTTGCCATGGACTTCATGGACTGCAGTCAATCACTACTTTCTGAGGAATAAATTAGAGAGAATTAAATGTCACTTCTTCTTTCCCCTACTGTAGCTACCCAGGGAGCCTGTGTCTCACCTGAAAAAAAATCAATATTTTGCACATTTCATTTGTTAACTGATTGCACAAAAATAATTGCTATCAATTGATCTAAAAACAGGATCACAAATCAGTTTTTGAAAGCAACATTAATCATTTGATCTTTGTTATAAAGATCAAATTTCATATTCAATATATAATTATTAATAGTCTTTGGCTTTCAGTTTGATTTTTGCAGGTTATAAGTTATATCATGAATTTACTTGTTTTAAAACTTAGAATTAAAAATGTATTCAATTTGTCATATATTTAAAAAGGACAATTAGTTCACACTGCTGAAATTTTATTTTCACATACAGGTTAAAAGTATCAACTGATTGTGGAGGTTTATTAAACATAACTAGATGATGGACAGAGTAATATAATTAGCAATGTAAAAAAGGAACAGTAAAATTACCATTTTAAAAATTCTAGAAATCATAAATGTATGAGAGTTTAGAAAACAGTGCAGAAATCTGATTGCTTCTCAGGTAACTTTGTACAAGGATATAGTGATAAATCAGCCATTATTATAGCAAGAAGTAAGTCTTCAATAACGTTTTCTTAATGAATTAGTGTCTAAATAACATATGCTCATTTGATTCAAAACCAAACTTGATCACTAGAGAAAGACACCTTGATAAGACAGCAATTTTCAGTCATGTTGGGGAACTCTAGTTGGAACAGGAAAGGAAAACACACTCCTCATTCTTTCAATCCCACAGCAAGCAGCCTATGAAAACCATGGGGCAAAACATTTCACATTGCTTCAGCCTGAAGGATTTTGCTCATTGCCAGCTGACTTCACCACTGCTCAACAGACATTTGTCTGGCACAAATTTTTAGAAGGAAGAGTGGGCTGACTCAGATATGTGCCTAGAAACCCAGCTTCTCAAGTACAAAAGTACATCATTTTTAGAATGATGATGAAGTATTAAATAAACACTGCTAGAAGACTCTTCAGTTTAGAGCTTTAATAGTCTAAGGGGAAGAAAAGGTTCAAAAATCATTGCGTTTGATTGTAAAGAGTAGTAAAATAAATGAGTTATAAACTGGAAAACAAAATCCATATATCTCATGTACAGAAAAAATGGACTTTTTTACAAAAATGAGAATGTACTATAAAGATATACTTCATTCCACTTTGTCTTTCCACTTAGATCTGATATTCTACTCTTTTTTTTTTCACCTAAAAATAGTTCTTGATGGGCTACTTTATTTGTAAGTATAGTTCTTCACTTTACTTTTAAAAGCTGCAGAGTGTTTTCATTGTTCGCCTATATCATCACGGATTCTATCAGTTTATATATATTTCATTGCTTTTTGGGTTTTGGGGTACATGTGAAGAACATGCAAGATTGTTGCATAGGTACATACGTGGCAATGTGGTTTGCTGCCTTCCTCCCCATCACCTATATCTGACATTTCTCTCCATGTTTACCTGATATATTTTAGCTGTCTCGAGTTTTTTCTTGTTAACTGAACAACTTTATTTTCAATAGTTACATTGAGATACAATTTACATACATAGTGTACCCATTTAAAGTGCATTATCTAATAATTTTTAGTAGATATAGAATTGTACAACCATCACCACAATCGAGCTTTATATTTTGTCATTTGCAAAAGAAGTGTCATTTCCCTTAACAGCCACTCTCCACCACACATTCTCACTCTGGTCTCAGTAAACCTTTAACTTACATTCTGTATCTATAGAAAAATTTGCCTATTTCAGACATTTCATATAAATAAAATCATATAACATGTTGTTTTGAACTGGCTTTCTCATTTAGTGTAATGTTTTCAAGGTTCATCCATGTTGTTGCATGAATCAGAACTTTATTCATTTTTAGCACTGATATGGATCTATCATATTTTTTCATTCATTGGTTGAAAGATATGTGGGCTTTTTTGACCTCTTGGCTATTGTAAATAATACTATGAACATTCATGTTCAAATTTTTTCTGGAGGTATGTTTCAATTTCTCTTGGGAATATTCTTAGGAATGGAATTGCTGGATTATATATATTCTATGTTGAACATTTTGAGCAACTGCCAAAATATTTTCCGAAGAGGCTTCACCATTTTACCTTTCTGCCAGCAAAATATAAGAGTTCCAATTCTCTATATCCTTGTTGGATCAAAAATTATTTTTGCTTTCTATCTTTGACAAAAATCTCCTTATTTGTTCTATCCCCCAGATCCGGGCATCATAAACTCTTCTAAGTAGTATGTACACTTAGTTTTTAATGAATTTTGACAAATTTGCCTCAGAATAATTGCCACAGTTTATACAGTAACAACTTTTACTGTACTTACACCAGTAATTTCTTCATCAAATTTTGCTGTTCAATAGACAATTACATAAAAACTAGAAACTTGCCATTTCTAATTATATTGCTTTGTTAATAAGCATCATATGCAGAATAATTCCCCACCACCCTGCTTAAATGAAAAGTAGTTTTCTGAACTTGCCTAACTAACATCTGCTTCATTCACTGGAGCCACACAGGGGCTGACCAGCTGAGTAGAATGCCTTTTGCCAGTAATGTATAGTAAAGGGTGTGTTGGCTTACCATTCTTTCTAAGTCCTCTGTTTCTCCATGCATTATCAAATGTCACA